TGAAAGTCAGATATTTAAGGATTAAATTCCTAATACATATACTACAGTGTGTATATATGTATGTGTGTGTGTGTGTGTGTGTGTGTGTGTGTGTGTGAGAGAGAGAGAGAGAGAGAGAATGAATCGGGATATATTACCCGAAAATATGAAAGGCTGTTTAACTGAAGGCAATTAAGAAGCAGTAGATGCAGGGAAGCTCTCTGCCTTCCCTACTTGTTTCTAAAATCAGGACTTAGATTTCCAAAGACAAAAGGTATCCTGCCACCCCTACTCCCTCTTCTACCAGGGAGAACGAAGTTTGACCACTGAAGACAACTGTAGACCTGAAGATAGGACCTTCGGGGCCTGAAGATAGGACCAGAGGAATCTACATTAATAAGCTTAACTGGCCCATCTCTGACATTTATTTGCCTTCCCACAAATTGCTACCTGTAGAGACTCAAAGCCTTCTTTCTTTTGTCTTGCCACTTCTCTAAAAATGTACGGTTCTTTATTGAAGATCTGTATAAGCCGGAATTCAAAGCCACTTGTTGAGAACTATTCAGTGTTTGTGTCTCCCATGTGCACATGAAATATATATGTTAATAAGCTTTTGCAATTTTTTCTTGTAAATCTGTCTTTTGTCATAGGATCAGTTTTAACTGCAGAGAAACCACAAGTATGTGACTTATTCTTCTCTACATAAAGAAACAGGATTTACGCTCACATTCCCAAAGAATTTTATGATACTATTTTAGACAGCTAAGCTAGGTAGAAGTATTCTAGGCAGTCAGACAGAGCTAGGCCCTCCAGAGAGTCAGTGCAGAAGATGAAGACACATTACAACTGTGGCTGGAGGCGCATCTGTTAAAGGCCAGGCCTCAAGATAAAGACAGAATGACCAGGCCTACATGCATCCCCAAAGGATAAGCAATAAATTGAAGATTATACTACAACACCTTTATTGGTATCAAGACCAATAAAGTCTTGATAGACATCAGTCACCCAGGTGGGTGACCAGGGCCTCCTGATCCACCTCTTCCTAAAAGGTAACTTGTTCTTTCCACATACACTTGCTACGAGACCTGCTTCCCCATTGGATCAATATTACCTAAGTGGCTAAACTTGTAATCTTATTGGTTCATCATAGTTTTGACCCATGTTGTACCCACCTTGTGATTTTGTACCCACCTCATGATTTTGCTCTATAAAACTTCCTCAGTGAAGTGGGGTCCACAGCAACCCACTTTCAGGTCCCCTCCTGTCTCTCAGGAGCTAACTCTCTCAATAAATTTTGCCTACTCTTAACCTCTGTTGTTCTTTAAAATTCATTCTTCAGTTTTGTGGAACACAAACTTGGTGTATCTGACATCTAACAGGTTAGGAGCTATATTTATTCCCTCTGTATCAATACCATAAAAGATTATTCTCCCAAACTTAATGTAAAACAGTACTTATCTTGAAATTTTCTTGAAGAATAAGAATACTTTAAAGAAATCTTGGGAAGAAAGAAAAATAGATATAAGTAAAATAATCTGCAAACCTACTGAAGAGGAATGACTTCCGGTAACCACCCTGTGAGTGCATGGATAACTGTGAACTCTCCCAGTTCTCTCCTCTGTGCTTCATGGATGCTAAAACAGAAGAGGCATAATCCTGTAGTTAGCAGAATCTTAAACACAGAGTTACATATAATGAAAAATCATTAATAAAAAACAGCATAATAATCAATGTAGGTCATACTTGTTATGTATTACAGTACAAGAAAATACTATCTCAGCAGCAAGATGATTTGTTAAACTACTTAAGTAGGTCCAATGATTAAATTTAAAACATATTTACAAAGCATACATATAAACCTTAATTCAAAAAATAATTTAAGGGGTCAGGGATTTAGCTCAGTGGTTCCACTGCCTGCCTCACAATTGCAAGGTCCTGAGTTCAATCCCTGGTCAGTCAAAAAAGAATTTAAATATTAATGCTATGTACAGTACATAAAGCATATTCATGCATTATAAAATATGTAACATAAATAGTATATTACTCATTTGATACATTCAATATAACATATTGTTCCTTTGAAAGTGAAAAGTGTCTTTCATCATTCTAATTTCAGTAACTATCTTCAGATGCCTATGAAGGTGTATATTAAATGTCTCATCCATACCCAGTCAAGAGGGCATCAGAAATCCTTAAATAACTGTGGAGAGATCACAAACATCAACTCCATCCTTTTACATCAGAGTGAGTTAACTACATAACAAAATGTCAGAGGTTGGTATTAGCCAAATATCATTGTTCTCATTCAATCCTTTTATTTATGTATATCGCTGGGGAGAGTACTCAATTTCCATTTATACACAGTAACGCCATCCTTCCCTCCCACCCAGGAATCATAGCTTCTGTCCACCAATTTGTGGTGTTGATTGTACTGACTAACACATGAGTTCTTTTCTTCAGAAGGAAATCACACTATCCTAGTCATGTATTTTTCCATTATGTATAAATGTGAATTGGTTTGTTGTTTATGAATTATAAATTTTTATGGGTCTACATTTATCAAAGATAACAAGTCTAGTCAAAATCCTCTTTGGAGAATTTCATTTATGAAGTGACTGCAACTCTTATGGAAATATTGCTCTTTTCTTTGCATATTTCACATTGATATTTACACGACTGGTATGGGGTTTGTGTTTTTTTTGGTACCAGGGATGGAACTCGGGACCTCACGCTTGTGAGGCAGGTGGCAGAACCACTTAGCTAAATCCCTGGCCCTGTATCCATTTTTTAAATGTAGAAAGCTGAACCTGGTAAAAAATAAAACTACTATAACACCTGAATAGAATTTATAGAAAAATATAAATTGTACCATGGAAGGCAAGTTTCCATTTGAAATCCTAAGAAATTTGTTATACTTGATTTGGTCCTTTATTTCTGAGCTGGGTTTATTGTTTTAAAAATAATAATTTTTATTATTCATATTCCAATTAAATTCTACTGAACTATAGCTATAAGAAAGACAAAATGCTACTTCTGTTATCAGGGCCACGTGTTTAATGCTTCACTGATCTTGCTTCACTTCCCAGAACTTTAAGTTATATCTGAGAGTTAGGAACACTGGGATAATTACTGTTGCCAAATAAACAAACACAGTTGCCACCAATGCGGATACTCGGATGCTCAGTAGTATTGGCTACCTAAAGAGATATGGGCTGATTATTTTGTAAACGTCACTGAAATGAATGTGCTGAAAGCTAAGTGAAACAAATTCTCAACAGAAACCTGAGGGCTAGAAAAGGAAAACAGAGACAAAGAGGATGGCAAGAGGAGTGGTTGTGTTTGTTTTGTAGCCTTAGGAGACAAAAAGGAAGCTGAGCAAAAAGAAAATCCACACCAAGTAGACTTAGCTTTTGACTACACTGTTAAGTCTATGAGAGAAGTGGAAGGACAAATCTCTGTGTTGGTTTGTTAGAGATGTGGGTGTGTTCTGCTGAATATGGAATTGCTCTCTATGAAAAATTGTTCTGCATTTCTAATTCAAGAATCTAAGCTTTTTTTCCCCATTGTGAACTGTATTGCTGGGACCAAATTGAGATGTATAGCACACAGCAGCCATGCCTCATAATATACTGCGTACACAAATCATGCAGAGGACATAAGAAGACTTTTGCAAGCACAGTGAAGGAACTATGAGTAGCTTTCATCATGAATGTGCCAAAAGTGACTAATGTCAAGAGCACGAAGAACACATTGACATCATTCTGAAAACTTCAAGTTTTTTAAGTTGTGGCAAAATACACAGAACCTAAACTTTAATTAAGTCCCAGTGTAAATAACTCACTAATTAGATAAACTAGTATTTTCCCTTATAAAACAATTTTTTCTCCTATTAAACTGAAACATTATTTCCCATGATCCATTTTCATTCATAGTAAGAGAGCATTATGAATAGAATCATTTTTTGAGTGTTAGTTTCTTGAGACAATTTTGTCTTACAGTTGACTACTTCAAATTAGTAGCTTTGGCACACTGATTTTTATACTTGAAAGTTTACATTGTTTGGAAAAAAAGCTTTCTTTTAATTTACTTTTTAAAATGAAGTCATTAAAATAAAATAAAATGAAGTCATTTAACATGAATGTATAGCTGCTATTTTGCCTTTTTATTTTTAGACAAATGATTGATAATTTCTTACTACATACTCAACATTTGCCAGCTTAATGATAGCTTTACACAGCAGCATTGGCCAGAGTTCAAATTCACAGGTTGTAGTTGGAAGCAATAGATTGTTATCTTCATCAAAAGGCAGAAAGTCATCAACAGTTATCTTTCTCCAGCAACCCTAAAAATAAGAAGAAAACAATGTAATGCCATCAAGGATTTATAGTATTTGTTCTCATACATTATTACATATTGCTAACATTACTATTTATTGTTTTATCAATTTATGTTAGCATTAATATGAAATACTAATTTTCAATATTACTCTGGTTTAGCATTTTACTTTATTAATATGATTAACATTATCACTATTTCACTTTATAATTACAGCACATCCATAGCTATGCATCAGTATAGTCCTTATTTCTGAGGCTTTGTGAGCACACAATGCAATAAATTAAAATATTTCAAAGAACTAAAACATTATACAAGCTGGGGGGCATAATTAATTTATGATATACAGTCAGAATACAAACTCTTAAAATATAATCTTAATAATTACTGCTTATCCTGATATGTGCTCCTTGATCTTACACTTCTAATTCTGATATTATGCCTACTCCTAATTAAAGATCTAATTTTTAACATGGAGTGAATATCTTATTTAGTAAAATACACATTTATTTGTATGCATTTTTTACTTCATAATTAAAATGTGATAGTATTAGTATTTATGAACTCGGTTTCTTTAGCTTTACATGCTGTTTTATTATAAATTAATTGTTTTGCGAAAAAATATTTTCAGTAGTGATGTCAAGCATTGTGAACTCCAAAATATGCTCAACACATGGTCTATTGTCATTAATTACTTATGGTTTAGTAGGGGAAGGCACATATGCAAACAACATAAAATATAGTATGTTCAAAATGCACTAGGACCAGAAAGGAAAGTATGACCACTCTGGCTGGAGAAAGTCATCATAAGAAAGTGACATTTGAACTGAAGTTTCAAGGAACAGCATATTTTTCCCAGGTAGGTAAAATGAGGTGAAAAACATTTTAGTTGTATGACAATTGTAACCCCGAACTTTGTGTTGGCTTAGAGGTTCTGTTTTTCTTTCTCCCTTAATAGGTGATGTACAGCAGGATGGGGTTAAAGCACAGGTGTGTCACTTTCTCTAATTTCAAATAAAATTACCCCCAAAATTCACAGAGAAATAAACTAGATGTAAAAGGAAAAACACTGTCTGATGAACAATTATTCAAGCTACTTTGAAAAGGCTAATTTATATGAAGAGGCTATCAGGGATCTGAGGAAGGGAGAGTGGGAAGTTATGGTTTAATGAGTACAGGATTTTTGCTTAGGATGACTAAACATTCTAGAAGTAGGTAGGGGTCTCAGTTGCATAACTCTGAAACAACTTAATGCCACCGAATTGTATACTTAAAATGTTAAAAGTTAAATCCTATGGTATGTATATTTTACTGAGATAAAAAATAGCAATAGGGGTTCCCTTTCCACACTTTTATTTGCAAAACAATTTTCTGAAGGAGTCAACTGAATTTCTATAAAGGAAAAGTTTTAAGCATCCATAAGAAGTTAAGCCAGAGCAGTTCAACTAGTATCACCTGCTTACCAATGACCAAAGACAACATTCTTTCAGTTAAGAATGTTTTGATTACTAAACATCACTAAATTGTACACTATAAATGAGTGAATTATATGGTACGTAAATCAGACCTCAATAAGTCTATTTCAAAAATAATACACAGGGATGGATTTTCAGTATTGCATAAATTTTTAAAACATAGTTTAACCAAACTTATAACCATATTATTGGGAATATTTTTGATTCATTTATATTACACATTGGTTGCTCCCTTAAATGTTATTTAAAATAAATATTATATACAATATACATTATATATTAAATATTATACAGCTGAATATATATATAGCTGAATATATAGCTGAATTTTTATTTCCCTTCCAAAAGCATATGTTGAAATCTTAATACCCAGTATGCTGGTACTGGGAGAGGGTCATCTGGCATGTGATTATGTCATAAGATTGGAGCCTTCGGAAAGAGATTTGTGCCCTTATAAAGGGATAAAATGGCTACAGTTCTCTCCTTTTGCCACTGAGGTTAAAATGAGCAAACTGACCTCAATCTATGAAGTAGAAAGTAGTTCCTCAAAAGACATCAAATCTCCTGGTGCCTTAATCTTGGAGAGTTTAGCCTCCAGAATTGTGAGAAATAAATTTCTGTTGTTTTTTAAGCTTCTTTATCTGCGGTATTTTGTTATAGATGTAAAATGGGCTATCTATAATTTATGAGATCCTATCATAAAATACTGAATTATGTTTGCATTTGGTCTTTTTATTATTGTATATAAATGATGTATTGGACTTTTCAAAAAAGTTTAGGACCAGGGATTTAGCTCAGTGGTTCTGCCACCTGCCTTGCAAGCGCAAGGTCCTGAGTTCAATCCCTGGTACAAAAAAAAAACTAAAATCATCACTTTAAAGGACTATCAAATGTTTATTTAGCATGCTTATTAAGAGGTAACCTTCCTTTCTTATAAATATAAATTACTAATATAAATATGTTTCAATATATAAATATGTTACAAAAATGCTTTGGAATATAACCACATTCAAAGTTAATATTTTTAACACTTGAACTCCAAGCAAAGATAACTAAATGGCTACATACATTTATACCCTCTTCCTCCTTTGATTGTGCTGAAAGGATAATACAAAAAAATTTAAATCTGTAGGAAAATAACAATTAGAAAAGATCAAGAAACTAGTAACCAATAGACAGATTTCAGCAAATAGTTGCATTATGAAAATTGCATAGGTGGACTAACACCTGACTTCACTCCCCTACCCTACTGCAGTAACAAGGTGGTGCCCATAGAGGGCCTGAGGATTGGTCTCTGACTTCCATGCCCACCCTGAAGCATACAACACAGTTACTCTCTCCAGCGAATCAGTGAACAGAACTAAGACCTCCACCCTCCTCCTGCAACAAACAGGAAGTACTCCTGCCAACAACACCCTGTTGTTGGAGGAACTCATTTCCACCCACTACCCATGTAGGAACAAAGCGGCACAGGATGGAGCCTTCTCACCTGGGTAACAAATAAGGGTGGGAGACCAGAATAGCACAATAGAGGCTTTGTAAACTCAGTTAGTATTTGATAAGCCAGCCCACCAAGATGAGCCAGGAATTTAATCTAAGTAGACTATCTACTAAAACTGAAAATTAATTAGAAACCAGAGTTGTAAAACATAATACCAAAATGTCCAGGAAATTGACCAAAATTATTCGTAATATCAAACAGTAAGAAAGCCTCAATTTTTATGAGAAAATATAACTAAAAGAGCACAATACTCAAATGACAGCAATATTAAGTTTATGAAATAACAAATTTAAAGACTCTCATTACCCCCAGATAGAACATCCAGTTGCAGGAAAACAAGCTCAGGGCTCCCACTGATTCTGCACTATGGTGAGTTGTATCGCTGTTTCATTATATATTACAGTTTAATAACAGAACTAAAGTGTACAATAAATATAACGTGCTTGATTCATCTCGAAGCCATCCCTAGCTGCCCCTAGTCTATGGAAAAATTGTCTTCCCTGATACTGGTTCCTAATGCCAAAAAGATTCTGGATTGCTGCTTTACAGGACAATGTGGGAAGTAGGGCAGTCAGACTAAACATCAAGTCTAACAATTTCCTCTTGTTCCTCATTGGGCTCAATGAATGGCTTGTGGAGATGCTGTGAACGCAGCACTGAGACAGCTCATTCCAGATGAAATATTTTGGTAGGCCTGTGATAGAGGTGATTTCTTGGTTTCTAGGTTAGTAGAAATCTCTTCTTTCTGGGATAGGGACACCCAAAATGTGTTGCTTATTCCAGTGTACTCCCTAATCTTGTTTTGGTTGTTGTCATTGCAGAAAACCCTGATTCAGAAAGATAGGATGTTGGAAATGGAAGATGTCACAGTGCTTTTGTAAATCTCAGGATATTCCTCCTTGGCTTTAATCCAGCATATATGGATACCGTAAGTTGTCTCAAACATACTTTTTTTTTTGCTATCAGGGATTGAACACAGGACCTTGAGCTTGTGAGCCAGGCAGCGGCACCACTGAGCTAAATCCACAGCCCTTAAACATACTTTTAAGGCCACTGCCATTTGTGATCTCAAGCAGCTGAACCTCCAAATTGATTCACAAATGGGTGGAGGATTCATTCCTTCTTAGTTCCAGGGATCTTTGGTAGTTGGGAAGTAATGCTCAAACTCTTCTGAAAGCTGAGGTAGGTGTTCATGCACCAGCTGGAAGAAAGAAGGCCCTGCCTCAATCTCTTTCAAAATCTCTGCTAGTGTTTGAAACATGTCAAAAATCCCAGTGTTCACTCAACATCCCCATAATTCGAGTTTGGTTTTGAGTGCATCCACTTTATATGCTGACTTGAACATGATTGTCATTCTTAACTGAAGTGACTAAATAAGTTGAATATGTCACATGAATAAGAAAGTTTTGCAACCCATTCTATGTCACTGAAATGTGCTGATAGCGGTGATTGTTTTTCTAAAAGAAATCTCTTATACTAACTCCAAAACTCTGGCCACTGATCTAACTTTAGAAACCCACCTCACTTCTGCATATAAGAGAAGATGTGTATAGCTTCTTGGCCTTTTGGCTAAGATCAAGTGTAGTATCTATTCTTATCAGTTTAATATCTGATACATCCTCTAACTGAGGACAATATATTAAATTGATTTTTAGAGCCGGGAGATGAAATGGGAGCTTGCTCTGTCCACTCCACACTTCGAACTGGTATTGCGGTACTTCTAGGAATGGTGTATCCCTCTGGGGGAAAAAAAAAGAGATGTGTGTGCTCTGTGTCCATCTCCTCACAGAGCTGAACAAACAGATGTGAGTCAAGGGCATGTGATTTAATGTGATTGATAATTTTAATCACATTCTACAAAACGTTCTTAAGTTCAAGTGACATTTCTTAGCTAGCCAGCATTTCTCTACAGATGACACCATGTGTAGATAGTGACCTCTTTGACCTAAGCAGTGAAACCAGAAAGCCATCCAGTCATAACAGCTGTTCCATCCATGCATATACTGACACAAAATGACTGCTTCAGTTTTCCTAATATATAATCATCCAAAGACATGAACAGTTCCGCAGCTGTGGTGTAGGTTGGCAACAAAAGTGGGCATAAAATATCTTCATCTATACATTCCAGGAAATATATCATATAAAATCAAGTACTGTTGGCCTGGTGAGTAGACAACATGAGTAGACTCCTAAATCTGGATTACATGGTGAATCATTAACCCTCTCTAATAATTGTGCCTCAGTATCCTCTGCTATTTCATCAATTTGTCTAGTCATAGTGCTACCCAAAAAAGGAACATGCGTGCCACCTTTTGAACCACAGCCTCTCCTAAAAGTCCATGACAAATGTCTACCAGCAAGCAAGATCAATGCTTTATCAATAGTAAGGGGCTTATTAGCTTTAGTAAAGTGATTATCCACTGAGAAGATGCTCTCAATGCAGACACATTTAATGAAGTGGTGGCCTTCAATAATTGCTTCTGTTCTTCATGTTCATGTGTTTTTTTTTCCTTTTGAAAAATTCCAAAGGCTTGCCTTAAATGCAAGGTCCTTAGTCTCCATGTGATGAAGCAGTTTTGAAGGTTTCATGGCTTCAGTGGATAGTAGGTTGCCATATATAATACAAAGCACTTGTAGAGAATGAATCATCCATTGCAATGAGCCCATCATTTAAGCAGACTCCTAGTATTTTCTTTTAAATTCATCTTTCTTTCTTTCTTTTTTTTTTTTTTTTTTGGTATCAGGGATCAAACTCGGGTCTTTGTGCTTGCGCAGCAGGCAGGGAAACCACTGAGCTAAATCACGGCCCTCAGCTTTCTTTTTGTTGGAAGTCTTAGAGTCTTCTGCTGTCTCACCATTGAATCTTCCCCTCTTTTCAAAGAAGTTCTCCAGTGACATTTGTCTTTTACTCATTTTGGCTCAAATTAGCTGTGGACTTACCAAAACTGTGACTGAGACAAGTATGCAGTGCAGGAAAGAGGTCTAGATGAAAGTGGTAAATAAAATGATGAGTGGATCAAAATAAGTGTGAACTGAAAAAGTGTTGGATTTTTACTTAAAGTCCACCACCAGACATAGCTATACAATTGATGTACATCAATTCACTTGCCATCTGAAAGCTGCCACCAGATTCAGTTTAACTGTCACTTGACACTCACTGATAAGGTTTTGATATGAGTCTGCAAGCAACTAATTTATTGTGATCGAGGTCTCTGTGCAGTCTCTCTGCTAATGTTAATCTGTATTTGCAGCTGCTTCTCAATGCTAGCATCACTGCCTCAGCTCCAACTCAGATCATCAGGCATTAGATTCTCATAAAAAGCACACCTCCTAGATCCCTCACATGTGCAGTTCATAGCACGGTTCATACTCCTGGGACAATCTAATGTCAACACTAATCTGACAGGAAGTGGAGCTCAAGGGGTAATGTGAGTGATGGGGAGCAGCAGTAAATATAGATGAAGCTTCACTTTCTCACCCACTATTCACATCCTGCTGTGTGGCCCCTGTTCCTAAAAGGCCATAGACTAGTTACTGGTCTGTGGCCAGGAAATCAGGGACCCTTGCTAGGCTAAGTTTCCTAAAGAGATGGGCTAAATGACTGGATCAGTCTGAGATTTCCAAAGTGGACTAAATACACTTTTTCCAGCCTTGGATTCTGGTTTGACAAATATATTTCAGTATGAAAGACATGAATTTCAATGTACATGAACTTGAACTTACCATCCAATAAAGTCTCACCACATACTTTCCATAGCTATTGAACAAAGGCATATGGCCTTTCACAGCCTTGCATAGGGAATATATATGTTCCCAAGGCTTCCAGAGGAGAATAGGAGGTTCCCCAGAAGCTCCTTTCAAATAATTGCTCAAAATCTGCCCATTGAGTATCTTCCATACTGCATAGATTTCACTGATAATCCATCTCATCAACTAGAAACAAAGGACATCAGTGTTACCTGGTTATCTCTCAATTATAGGTACTGCAATTGGGGAGGGGGGTAAAAATGTCTACTTCTGATAGTATTAAATTTTATGTATAATGCATTCCACATTTTGATTTCTAAACTACAGAATAAGATCATAGGTCTTGCTTTTGTTTTCAGGAAATATAGTTAGAATACAAACTAAAATGGCTAATAAAATTTACCTCCAGTTCCAATTGACTTTTATTTAGCTGTATGTGTATATAGCAGAGAGAAAGGGAGAGAAGAAAGAAAGGAGGAGAAAAAGAGAGACAGAGACTAATTGATTCCAAAAGCACTGATGATTTTTACAAAAAGTGAGCTAAAATGGTAGATTTTAAGTGTTCTCATCACACACAAAAATATGTGAGATAATTTTCTTAGATGTGATGAATATCCCACATTGTATACATATATCAAAGCATCAAACTATATGCCTTAAATATATACAATTTTAAATTTTCAGTTGTAATTCAAAAAAGTGGGAAAAGAAATACTCATTTATACTAAAACTTAAAATCAACCAAGGGAAAACTGAGCTTGGCTATCTGGGAGATATTTTCCCACGTCTGGAAAGCATTCTGAAATGGGACTTTGAGTCATACTTCCCTACATACCTCACTGCAGAATAAGTGCTCATTTGCTGAAAACAAGTCAAATGTGATCTCATCTTTCACAACTACTGGAGTCTGAAATAAAAATATACACATAGATATGAGTCCATATGAAAGATAAAGGAAATGTAACTTAATAAGCTATAGCTTAGTGAAATAGGCTAACCCTGATTTCATTTCTCACAGAGGAATGAGGATAAAAGGTAAGTAAATTATTCCCTAAAATAATCCTTACATAGATAGAACTGTATGTGAAATTAATTTAATATAATCCTGATAAATCAGAGCATTTTAATATACAAATAAAGTATATCAGTTAAACAGCATTCATACACACAGTTTTAAAAGTGATTGGAAATTTAACCATTCAAGTTATACCTGAAGCTGTTATCACCTGGTAAATGGGGGAAAAAATCTTTTTCTTAGATGAAAAATATTAGATGTGAAACTTTTAAAAATCTTTTTCAATTTTAAATCCTGTCACATTTAAAATTGATTATCAACATTTAATTTCTATAGGTAATAAAGTAATAGGAAAATATGACTTGGAATATTTTTAAATGAGCTAAAATGCATATCAAATCTTATATATTTAACATTTTAAATTAACATGCAAGTGTTTTTACTACAGAATTAGATATTTATGGATGGTAATAGCATCAATTACCCTCAATCATTGGTACAAGTAGCATGTCAAGTCAATAAAATAATTTATGTTTAAGAAAAATTTATCTAAAGCTATCTTGAAGGCCTGGGTTGATACTTCTGATGATACATTATAAACACAGTTTATTCTGTTTGACTACAGTAGAATGTCCATAATTTTCCACAGTACCAGGGTGCAGTAAAATCAGTCATAGATTAAGTACTAGATATGAAAAATATTAGTAGACACTGACTTTGTAGAAGATAACAAATATCAACATAAAGAACTCTACAATGGCATCGCCATTCCCTACACCTACACCTAGACAGAATAAATCTTGAGATATCTTAGAATGTTCAATCAAATCAATGTTCAAGGGTCTGGGCTCCTAATCTCTAATGCTAAAAAACTAAGCAGATCTGGTCTGTAACCCTGTGTTTACAGCTTATTAACCCTTTTGATTGGAACCTCTCATGTTGATTTTGATACCTTAAAGCCAGGATTTTAAGATCTTTAATAACCTAGCTTCTCTCTGACTTAAACCATGTCTTTTGATTTAGTCTTTTGCTTCGAGTTCTATGGTATGTTCCAGGGTGGACTGCATTTATTAAAATGAGAGTTGAAATTATTTAGTGATTCATGAAATCAGTTTAGTGGATCAAGACTGAGAAAGAAAGATGAAGAGAGAAAGGGAGAGAAGAGAAGTAATAGAGTACATCTTATATAAGATCACTGTTCCATGGGATTTTTGTTTCAACTTTATAAATGTACATATTTAATGAGCGTCGAAGTAAATAGTAGTTGTCACTGTGCACCTAGATGTTAGACCTTGAAAAACACCCTGCTAGATAGAACTTTCCTTCTTAGCTATATTTTCAATTCTGTCTGCCCTGATCCGTAGTCTAGCATGATGAATCAAGAGAAGGCATCTGTGCAGAGGGAGGATAGAATTAGTCATAGAAGAGGAAGGCAGCATTATGATAAGAGGTCGCAGTGTCATGAGCAACAATGAATTTATATTTAGTACAAAAGTATCTCTAGGAACTAGTCTCAGAACAAAAAAGAAAAAGATGTTTCAGAAAACTTTTCTATTTATTTAAATTTATAAGACTCCTACCTCATGGAACTCATATTGCTTATTTGCATGAAGTGTAAACCATGGACTTATATTAATAGCATATCGATATCAAGTACATTATATTGGCAAACAGAATTTATATCCATGTTAATGTTACTGAACACTAAAATATTTTTGTTTGTTTTTCTGAGACAGGGTCTCACTGTGTAGTTCAGGCTGGCCTCAAATTCACAGTGATCCATCTGCCTCAGCCTCTCAAACGATGGGACTGCAGGCCTGCACCACATCAGCTTAAATTTAATGTAAACACATGGTTCATGAACATTTGATTTACTTAAAATCTCCTCCAAGTAGGCATTCAGAAAGTTTATCATTTTATTCTCTCACTTTAGTAAATCTTACTGAATTTAGGTATGTCTAATTTTCTCTACTAGTAAGGTAGGTAAGGTTTTTTGTTTGTTTTGCATTAGCAGCAGGGTCAATGAAGGTTAAATGCTAGTAATAAAATCACTTTGTGTAGAAACAGTTTTAATAGATTCTACAAATGTATAGAAAAATCAACTCCATTGTAACTGTTTAATTAGTACTAAATAATATAACCTATTAATTTTCTATGCATTAAATTAGAATAATAAGAACTGAACAGGGGGAAAAAAGCATTAATGATAAATAAATCCCTGGAAACAAGAAATACACCAAAACTAAACTCAAAAAAAAACAACCTAATGCAGCTATTCAGAACTTAATCAAAAATAGCCAGGTGTGGTGGTACAAAAATAGCCTCCTGCAATCCCAGCACTTGGGAGGCTGAGGCAGGAGGATCACTGTTAGTTTGAGGCCAGCCTAAGCTACCTAGTAAGTTCAAGGCCAGTATAGAATACATAGTGAGACCCTGTCTCAAAAAACAAAGCAGAAAAGAAGATGAAGAAGAAAGAAGAAGAAGAAGGAGGAGGAGGAGGAGAAGGAGGAGGAGGAGGAGTGAAAATATTTACTTCATCTGAAATATGAGGTAATACTCCAGTTTCTATTCACTCAAATCAAGAAAATGTTTCCGTTAAACATATTCTTTTAAATGAAAAGTTTATTTTGCCACCTTTGCCTTAAACTGTAAATCTTTACAGTTTTAAAGATATGTGTTGTTTTGAATGGAAGTTTCTCAAGTGATGCCCCAGTCAAGATAATTCAGATGTTTAAACATAAGAATCCAAAAATAAAGGTGGTTTTTGGAAAAATGCCTTAAGAATCCACTGAATTGAAAAATTTAAGTGCAAACCTCTTAGACTGCAAAGTTAATGCTAACAAACATTATAGACCCCTAGGCTATAATTTGACATTTTAGAGAAAAGTAGAAAATGCAAGACTTCAAACAAAAATTTAATAATCTCATGAAAACCAGTATAATTATTCAACTATATTGATAAACATTGAGTGGATTTAAATGCAAAAAATAATTTTTTCTCACTGAATGCGCAAGAAAATTTATTCTAAATCATTTCAAAAATGGAAATTTGTATCACTAGCATATTATATCCCTATAATTAATGAGTGTTTTAACAGTAAAAATATTTCTTACCCGATTTATCACAAAATCCTGTGGACGTTTCCAGGAATAAATTTTCAGAGATGGTGGCAATTCAATTTTTCCTTCAGGATCTTCAAAAAAATTCTATATAGAAAATGAATTGAGCTTTTTTTCTATGGTTTTATCAAAATAAAAACAATTCAATCCTAATTAAAATAAGTGCACAGATTTGATCAACAAATAAGCATTCATAAGGCAATTTGTATCTTTTTTTTTCTTTTGTATTTTTGGTACTGGGGATCCAACTCGGGTCCTTGCGCTTGCGCAGCAGGTGGCGAAACCACTGAGCTAAATCCCCGGCCCCGACAACTTGTATGTTTATCCTCAGAACTAGTTCATGGAGTACCTGGAGGACACTGAATTTAATAATTCTGCATATCATTTTGAGCACTGAGTAGGATTTGGATTGTAGAGGAAGCAAGCAGCCCAAACAAACATGAGCTGCTTTGGAATGTAAATTAGGTGTGGGGGGAACTATTTCAGATAAGTCTGTGGAAAGACTGAAAACATTTTGTTTTTACCTGACTAGAGAAGACTGAAAATTATTGCTGTTGGAATCATAAACAAGATTATGTATAAATGAAGCTTGAAACTCTGACCTGATTTTCATTTATTAATTTTTTAAATTAATGTTGTTCTTTTGAGATAATTATGGTATAGATCCACATGCAGTTGTAGGAAATACTAAAGAGTTCCTGGGTTCCCTTAACCCAGTGTCTCCGGTGGAAATACCCTGCACTCTTGTGTGCACGATAGCCGGACACTGACCTTGACACAGTCAGCAGCCAGGGCGGCCTCAGCCCTCAGCGCAGTGACCCCTCCTGTGCCTTTCCTAGCCAAGCTCACCAGCCCAGTCCCCACCCATACTCCCTCCCTAACATCTGTCACTACTCTATTCTCCACTGCTCATTCTGCTTTCCAGGAATACAATATAGAATCATACGGTCTGACGTCTTTTGGATTGCCTTTTTATTTTCTCTTTCCAAAGAGGAAGACTCAACACAATTCCCTAAAGATTCATCCAAATGGTTGCATGTATTTATAGTTTGCTTTTATTTATTGCTCAGTAATATTTCATGGTTTGCCTACTGAAGGATATCTAAACTGTTTCCAGGTTTAGGCTATTACCAATAAAACTTCTAAGAAGATTTATGTATATAGGTTATAGAGTTTTATGTGAACATAAGTTTTTATTTCTCTGGAATAAATGCCCAAGAATGCAATGAATTCATTAATTTTTGAACTTTATTATAAATCAATTATTGAACTCTGGAAAAGGAATGATATTCAAATATCTACTCTCAAATGGTAGCAATCTAGTTAGTTAAAGACTCTTCAGGTCATTACTATGGTTACTATGTTAGAGTTCTCAGAGCTCAGAAAGTCCTGGGAAGAAAAGATCCTTATAAGAAATAACATGAGGGCTGGGGATTCAGCCCAGTGGTTCCGCTGCCTGCCTCGCAAGCATAAGGTCCTGAGTTTGATCCCCGGTACCAAAAAAAGAAAGAAAAGAAAAGAAATAACATGAAGCATGCTAGGAGTATGAATAAAATGCTTGAGGAATGTAAATTATCTATGAGGAAAAGGGAACTAAATTTTACCTGCGTTAATAGAAACAGGAAGAAAAAAACACTGTATTGTGGTCTTCACAGCAATCATATTTTCACCCTAAATTTTGTGTGGCCCAAGAAATGGGTTATATTTGAAGGCAGTGACCAGTCTTTAAACATTTTAAGTGTATATGTTTATCTGGAACGCATTTAAGACACTGGAATCTGAATGAAGACAGATGCAGTTAAGCATCCAGTCAAAATGCCCAAAGAATGAGTCTGAAAAACTGAAGTTTCCCAGAAGCTACTGCAGACTTCTGCAACTCCTTCACATTGTTTTCTTTCTCACAAATGTTAATTTAGTTATTTTGATGTTTCCTATCTGACAAATATGAAATTACCTGTGTCACAGTTTCTATTATTTGATGTTTCCCCGTGGTTCTCACTCGCTTGATTCTTTTCTTTGGGCTTAGTAATTTTGGATTGAATGATATACACTGGATACAAAAATAAAAAGAGGCTCTAGACAACGGTGTCTTCCTCCAGATGAATTTGTTTCTTTTTGGTAAGGAAAGTTTAAGATTTGCTTGACCCTATGAACACTCTTGGTTTTGGGTACAACTAGAGAAACTCTGGTTTGCCCATACTTCATATCATGTGTTACACCTATTCCTAGAGACTATCTAAAAGGCTGAGGTGTTTATCGGGGTCCTTTAACCTTGATGTACCCTAACTTCCAGTCTCTCTCCACACCACCGTGAAACTTTTTCTTAGTTACCAGGCCTCTAAAGCTGTTACTTCTTACTCATTTGCACAACTTGCCTTTCATACACATGGCTTAAGAGTTGAGCAAATATCTTTAAATTTTTTTTAATTGATTAAGTCTATCGGTACATTTTAAATATACATAACGATCACATTCTTCATAAGGGATTTGTTCAGATCCTTTGTCAGCAGTTACCCCTTCCTTGGATTTTGGTTCAAGTTCTAATTATTTTGGCAGTCCAGACAATACCCTCTGTCCCTCCAGCCTGGAGGAACTGACACAGGCTCAGGCACACTACTTTTTTCTTGGTTTCTATTCTTCATGTCTTGAAGGTTCTCAAGGCAGGGGAAAGGTGAAAAGCCTTGTTGAGATTCTCTTTTCTCCAAGGTTTAAGCATATCACATTAAGAAGTCAATGGTGGGGCCGGGAATTTAGTTCAGTGGTTTTGCTGCCTGCTGCGCAAGCACAAGGATCCAAGTTTGATCTCCGGCACCAAAAAAAAAAAAAAAGAAGTCAATGGTCACCTTTTTGTCATTTCACTTTAGGGGAATTCCTTGTATCTGCCTTAAAGGACTTCATCATATTCTTTCAAATTTAGTTCACCCACTACATCCTTTAGTTGCCATAACTTAGCTGGAGAAGTGAGGACTGACATTGGACTTTGAACAAAGGGTTAGCTCATCAGTGGCTGGTTTCTTGATGACTAGCTTCACATCTAGGGAAAGGGTCATTTGCAAAATTCCAAGGATACTTGCTAGAGTTTGATGGTTAGGGCAACTGATCCTGGTAAAACACAGATTTTGCAATTTAGAACCAATAGCTACTGTGCCATCATACAATAAGAGATGCAGTCTCAAAGCATGGACTCTTTCCACCACTCCAGGGTGGCTTTGTGAGCCCATGGATGCTGTCTTGGGACAGAACTATGGTTGGGCAGCAAGGTTCTATTCCAGATTTTACCACTTTGCACTGTAATTTGAGCTGGTGCTCTCTTACCCTTGAAAGCAGAAGTGGTAAAATGAAATGTTGACTAAGATTCTCAAGTGTCCCACTCCATTGGATTGGCCACGTTCACAGTAAGAGTTGGCCTAATGCCTCTTTAACCATGCAGTTTTATAAGACTCCTTAAAGTAAGCACCATAGTATGTACTTTGGGGTCTGACGTTTGGCCAGTCTGATTTGTATATGCCACCCCAAAATGAAATGGACTTCAGTTGACCAGCACACTTGCTACTGTTCCAGCCTGCTTTTCCCCCAATAAACGCTCTTGCAATAGACTTCTGCTTCCCTTAATCACATTGATAATTTGATACCCAACCTTCCAGATATCAGTAAAATTATTTCACAGTCATCTGATAAGGATACTCCTAGCTCCCTATATCAAAGTTTTCAAGCACTTCTTGCCCTTCCCCTCTCTGTTGAATCTCCACACTTTGAGTGACTTATCTTTAGGTCTTTTCCAAAGCTCAGCTGCTCAACTGAGGATTTGCATAATCTATCCTCATGACGCAACTTCTGAAAGCTACACAGAGAAAGAGTAAGACATATACACATACACACAATTCCCATAAGTTCAGAATTGCTGATAAAAATATATAAAATATATAAAATATGCCCATTTTCATTTTCAGAGGGTTCAAAAGCTCTAGCATCTAATAGTTTACACTTATTCTAGGCCTGGTGCAAAGAATGTATTCCATTATACATCATTAATTTTGACATTGTTCTTCAAGGGCTAACAGAGTCAGCAGTTATTTTATTAAATTTTTTTTTTTTTTTGGTACGGGGGATCAAACTCGGGTTCTTGCTCTTGCGCAGCAGGCAGCAAAACTACTGAGCTAAATCCCCAGCCCAATTTTATTAAAATTTTTGAGAAAGAAAATCACTGACATAAGTCTTGCCACTTATGATTCTATATTTTGTGCAAAAATGTAAATGCTAATATTCACAATTTTAGAATGCTATATGTAAAATAAAGACAGCACAGTTCAATCTAGTCATTCTGGCAACTTATGCTTTGAAAATTTTATTGTGTTTGATAGATAGATATTTTTAAATGAGTTGCAGCACCAAATAAATGAGTCATGTTTTAGATGCAATTTGGACATGTGGTCACAACAAAGGAGTCGCTAGAAATGGAGTAAAAATGTTTACAGTCAAAACAGCCTAAAACCCTAATTGGTAAATGGAGGAACTCTCAGGAACACATCATGTTTACATGACCAAAAGTAAACAAGGAACAACTCAAATCTTTATCCATGTACCCTGAGGGGATTTGAGGGACCGAGTTAAAGAGATCACAACATAGGATCTCTTTAAAGCCACTTTTCCCATAATCTCCTGGTAACAGTCACAAATGCATTATAGACATTTTTTGAGCCACTCTAATTGCCTGGTTATCAATTCTGTCCAAAATCTATTGCCTAACCTGACTTATCTCTCAATTTCCCTTTAGTTTACTAGGATTCTTTAATCATAGTTCTTTCCTCCCATTTGTCAAATGTAATTTACCAGAGCTCAGAACTAAGGCTTGGAAAGACAAGGTCACCACCTTGTCTTGCCAGAGAAAGGCCGGGCAGAAAACCGAAATTTCCCTTTGGAATGGTGACTGGAGGAGAAAGGAATGAGAACACTCTCACTTTAACAAATCTTACTGGTTTACAAAATCAAAAACCAAACTGAGGTCCAGTCACAGTCAAGTCTACTTACAAATATAGGGCTTTTCCCTGCTTTGTCCTTCTCTTTCCCTCCTTTGCCTGCATCCCACTTTTCTGCATTTATGTCAGATTCACTCCATTCTGGCCAGATTTGGAATTTCCCCTTCTTTTGCTCAATAGAACTGGATTGTAAATGACTGCCAAAAGGGCGTGGACTGGGGAGAGAGGGAGAGACAGACAGACAGAGGAGGGTGGGGGGGACAAGAGAGGCATTTAATTAAAATCTCTGGAATAAAATATTGGATTAATTGCACAAAATAAGTTTAATTATCTCATCAGAAGGGTATGTTAAATACATTTGTCAATCAGCTCCCACATGTTAAGTTTCTAAAGACTGAAATGATCTCAAAGAAATTATTTCATTGGTACATTTGAACATCAGCTCCTACTTACTAATTCAGGATGGTCAAAAACAAGCAAAAAGAGTATTTTGTATTATCATGAGCACATAAGAATGTTTAAACATAACTCACATTTAAAGCAAAATTCTTTACATTTATAATACTAACAGCATTTGGAATGTCAATACCAAAATGATTTGCATTTCTTCAAGTATAACAGTACCATGGAAGCATTACTTTTTTTTTTCCTGATACTGGGAATCTAACTCAGGACTTTTCACTTACCAGGCAGGCGGGGCACCACTGAGCTAAATCCCTGGCACTGAAGCATTACTTTTTTAAAAACTGCAAATTGTTTAAATAAAAAAAAGTGCCTACCCCACGTAGACATCACATAGTTAACATCTACTTATTCTCTCAGACTAATACGTATGATATACATTTTTTCTTTAAAAATGAAATCATTTTGCATATTCTTTTTTATACACTGATTTTTTTCCCACTTATCAGCATAGTATTATATATTTCCCATGGCTAGAAATGATTGTCCATGTATCATTTTTAAAATTATATAATATTTCATAATATATTATTTCATTTAACCAAGCTTCTATATTTGGAAATTTAGGGAATTGACTTTTTAAATTTTTTCACCCAGCCTTTTGCACTGAACTACATTGAACCCCTGTTTTCAATTATTTTTTATTTTGAGACAGGGTCTTGCCAAGTCCCTAAATTTCTCAGGCTGGGCTTAAATGTTCAATCCTCCTGCCCCAGCCACCCAGAATACTAGGATTACAGGTGTGTGCCACATCTGGCTAATTTTTTCACTGTTACAAGCAACATTATAATGACTGTCCTTGTTACTAAATCTCTCCATACATTCTTAATACTTTTGCTAGTATAAAACTTACTAGTGTGTTGTGGTACTACAATATATGCATAGTTAAAGTTTGTCATATATTTTGACCAATTTTCTACAGAATAAGTGGTCCTATTTTCTACTCTCACTAGTTTCCTTATCTTTAAAACCTGAGTATTATTTTTGTTTACATTTATGATATTTAAATCTAAAGTAGCAACCCTGTTTAACTTCTCAAGACTTTAATAAACTACTTGTGACTCTAGAATTCTGCTCCAGACCATTGGATAAGCAGTGGGGGAAAAAAAACCCTAAAATTCCTACTGTTACAGAGTTTATATTGTATTGGTTCTGTACACAAAGCAAACACATAAACTAAAACAAATAGTATATTTAAAGCAAAAATTCTAAGGGGAAATACAAAACAAGAGGCAGAAACTGAAGAGTTAAGGTATGCAATTTTTGAAACCGTGGTAAATCTCTGTAATAAGGCAGCATTTAAATAATTGCAATGCAGACGCAAGCTATGTGGATTTCCATGGGAAGAACATTCCAGATCCAGGAAACAGCAAGTATATAAACATCAAAGTACTCCAGATGAATAAGCATGCCAGCTTATCTTAATAACATCAAGGCCAGACCACCCCCACCAGCACGGATGAGGTGACCACTCCCAGCACACAAGAGGAGGCTTCCAGACCACCATACCACTCCTGTCAGCAGAGAAGAAGTGAGCCGCTCCCAACACACAAGAGGAAGTTTCTGAGTTGCCATACCATCCCTGCCAGCAGAGAGGAGGTGAGCCACTCCCAGCTCACAAAAGGAGGGTTCCAGGCTGCCATACCAACCCTGCCAGCGCAGACAAGGTGAGCCATGTGGGCAGCAGCAGCATCCACCACCCCCCCGCTTCACTGAAATGAGAAAACACAAAAACAAGTTTCAAAACCAGACTTCCAGATCACCTACAACAACCCCAAACAGAAATGAGATGGAACACTCTAATAATCAGCCACCTGGACTCCCTGAACTGGCAACAAAAGAGGATCTGGAAAAAATGAAATCAGAAATAATTTCTCAGATAACAGCAGAGATTGTGCT